CAAAGGCTGCTCATCAATGGTTCCTCTTCATCCTGGAGAAGAGTGACTAGTGGGGTGCCACAGGGTTCTGTCTTGGGCCCGTTCTTATTCAACATCTTTATCAACGACTTGGATGATGGATTCAAGGGCATCCTGATCAAATTTGCAGATGACACCAAACTGGGAGGGGTGGCTAACACCCCAGAGGACAGGATCACACTTCAAAACGACTTTGACAGATTAGAGAACTGGGCCAAAACAAACAAGATGAATTTTAACAGGGAGAAATGTAAAGTATTGCACTTGGGCAAAAAAAAATGAGAGGCACAAATACAAGATGGGTGACACCCGGCTTGAGAGCAGTACATGTGAAAAGGATCTAGGAGTCTTGGTTGACCACAAACTTGACATGAGCCAACAGTGTGATGCGGCAGCTAAAAAAGCCAATGCAATTCTGGGCTGCATCAATAGGAGTATAGCATCTAGAACAAGGGAAGTAATAGAGCCACTGTATTCTGCTCTGGTCAGACCTCACCTGGAGTACTGTGTCCAGTTCTGGGCACCACAGTTCAAGGAGGACACTGACAAAGTGGAACGTGTCCAGAGGAGGGCAACCAAAATGGTCAAACGCCTGGAAACGATGCCTTATGAGGAATGGCTAAGGGAGCTGGGCATGTTTAGCCTGGAGAAGAGGAGGTTAAGGGGTGATATGATAGCCATGTTCAAATATATAAAAGGATGTCACATAGAGGAGGGAGAAAGGTTGTTTTCTGCTGCTCCAGAGAAGCGGACACGGAGCAATGGATCCAAACTACAAGAAAGAAGATTTCACCTAGGATGAAGATCTCTGTCTGTCCTGGAGAGAAAGATGCCTAAGGGCCCTTAGAGAGATCTTTTAAACTCCAATTTCACCACAAACCAGCACAGTGCTGAAATGGGGTAAAGGCCCTGCTCCAGAAATGATCCCTCTGGCTGCTCTTTAAAGAGGATTTCTAAAGAACGATCAGAAGGGTCTTTTTTCCACAGATCTCAGGGGTTGGAAGGTCTAACATGCTGATTGTGTTTGCAAGACTTGTATGTATGCTAGATGGCATGTCTGGTGAGTGTGGGCAGCACCTCTGGCGTGTGTGGATGTGACTTTATGGTCTGCATCTCTTTTCTGTATGCGCATGCATGCGCATACATTGGCCACAAAGCTCACTGGAATGTGGCCTCCAGAATCAATGCAGCTTTAAGCCCATAAATGTTTCGCTCCTCCTGCTCTATCAGAAAGAACAATCAAATCTGAGACTATCAGGAGGAGAGAACTCCTGGATCTACAGAGTTAATGTTCTCAACAACCTATGGACACAAATTGCAATGAGATTTCTCTCTAATACTCTCTAATACTTTGAGATTTTTTTCCTTAAAAATATGAAGCAGTATAGAAATGAAAGGAGTAATAATCTGAACATGAATAGCTAATTTCAATTTCGCCTTCCTCAGTCTTTAACAATACTGTCTTCAATGTTTTTATTATCATTAATTCATTTCCATATGCCACACTTCATAAGAATCGTCCTTTCCTCTGCATTCTCAAAACTGTCACCTACTTCAACCCTCAGCCTTCATCTGTAAACTCTGCTGCCTTACTGAGGAAGGTGGAAATAAAAAAATTAATGAGACAGGTTTAAGCCTGTCACACTTATTCACACGCAGACACAAGAGATCACTAGCTTTGATAGTTTGGGGAAAGATCAGATGCATTCTCCGGGGAAAAGATCTATTAGCCGTTTTATTAGCTGTGACAGATCAACAGAGCCTCCATGTGTAGGCACAGTGTACCTTGATTTGGGGCAGGCAAAAGAAGCCATTTCCTTGCTAAATGAATCTGATGGACATCATTGCCACAAGATGCGGTGATGGTGGTGGTGGCTAAGAGTGCTTTAGAAGGCGACCAATTCATGAAGGAGGGCGATAGGTTCATCAATGGCACTGGCAGAGGAAGGAGGGCAGGAGTAGTGGCCTGCAAAGGGTGTCAGGGGGCTGCACAGTAAGAGCCCCCTTCCGAGCTGCACTGCTCTTCCTTTCCCCCTGCCTCCCCTTCCCTCTCCCCCGTGGGGAGGACCGTCGAAATGGGCTGGGCTCCCTGCTGAGGGACAGGGACAGGAACAGGGGCGGCAAAAGCCCCAGGTACGCCGCTGATCCGTGAGCGACTATATGCATCGTCCATCGCGAAGCAGCAGCTGCCTTGGACCCCTCATTCTGCCCCTTGAGCTCAGGACTGAAGGCAGCAGCTCCCCAGGGTCTCCGGCAGGGTCCGTGCCAGCCTGAGCCAGAGATGTTTGCCCCTGTGCCCTCCTGCAGATGCCCTGCCCCTCAGCTGCGCCCCTTCCCCTTCCTGCCCGGTTGGGGGGCGCCCTGCAGCCTCTGACTCCACTCGGGGCCTCATCCTGCCAGGCCCACGTGCTCTCCTCCTCGCCCCCCCCCCGCCTCCCGCACCTCGGACTCCTCGCTCCGTCCCTGCACAGGAATCCGGCTCCTCTCCGGGGAAACTCGCCAGGCCACGGGCCGCTGCTCCTCCGCTCTCCTCGGCGGGGGACAGGAAAGTGCAGCCGCTCTCGAGTCCCCCTGGCTGGCCCCGTTTCCTGCCTCTCTGAGCATCGGAGTTCGCTGGCTGTGGGTTGGGCCCTGGGAGGCTGCAAGGCTGGATGCGCCCCCTTGCGCTGTCCCTCAAAATTTATTGTATCATTGGAATCTACCTGGCATAAGATATCCAGAATGTTGCACAAATAAGTCTCCTTGTGATCCGATGTGCAGTCACTGGTTTCCTCATCAGTAAATCTTTTCAGAAAGCTGGGACGATGCCACCCTGCAGCCATAGCTGTCAACTTTCAGATTTGAAAATAAGGGATCCGCAGCCTCACCTGTCCCGGGGACAGTCTACAGGATATCTAACAATCCGGGATACCAGCGGGAAATGGCACTGGAATAAGGGAAATTCCAGCAAAAAAAGGGAAGGTTGACAGCTATGCCTGCAGCCTGAATGGGTAGCTGGAGGAGGCAGTCCAGTTCCCAGCTCTGCTGGTTGGGATCATGCAATCACTTAGCTCCAGCAACCGACCTTTCCAAACCCTCTAACATTTCTCTGATGAAAATAGGGACATCCCATTCCATAAATATAATTTTCCTATTTATACACCGCACATCTTATTACGCTGTCCAAGCCACTCTGGGAAGTTTCCAACATATATAAAAAACATAATAAAACATTAAACATTTTGAAATGTCCCTATACAGGATTGCCTTGTCAGAGGGCCCGGGGGTCGGATAACTCCATTCCCTCCAGCATTTCTTCAATGAAAATAGGGAGACCCTAAGGAGAAGCGGGACATTCTGGGATCAAATCAGAAACCAGGACAGCTTCTCTAAATCAGGGACATCCCTGGAAAATAGTGGCATTTGGAGGGTTTCTATTTCCCTGCTTTTTCTTTCGCTGCCTCTGGTCTCCTGCATCCATTTAGCAGAGGAGGGGAGCGTTTTTGGCTTTCATACTTCTCCACCCCCCACCCCATCCCCAATATAACCCAAAACACACACACCATTTGGGAGTGAGGACCAAAAAAATATAAAAATCGTTTTATTATTTTATTACTTATTTTTGCAGTTGAATCGACTGTATCTATAAATTTTATTGTTTATAGCCAATGGCCACCACAATACGAGCACAAATCACACAGCTGCAAAACAAAAGACATTGCATGCACCAGACCAGGATAAATCTATAGCGTACAAAATTAATTTTCACATCTCTTTCAATGGGAAGGATATAGGGCAGCAGAGTCCAAGTGGTGAGGTCCAGATTAGAGTTTCTATCATCCTTGACTGTCTGCCCAGCTGGCTGAAGCATATGGGAACTGGACAACAACATCTGGGGACACCTCAATGACTATTCTGTGATATACAAAATCTTCAAAGGATTAAGGCACTGATCCAGAAGAGAATGAACTGAGAAGAGGCCACACTGAATTATCTGAAGTGAAACAGAGGAAGATCATTATATAATAATAATAATTTATTATTTATACCCCGCCCATCTGGCTGAGTTTCCACAGCCACTCTGGGCAGCTTCCAATCAAGTGTTAAAAACAGTACAGCATTAAATATTAAAAACTTCCCTAAAAACTTCCGTGCTTTCACGCACACAGCAACCCTGCGAGGGAGGTTTCGCATAAAGATGGTGACCAGCTTTAAGTTGCCCAATCGGCTTCACGACTGAGAGGGATTTGAATTGTCCCCGGCATTTGTGGACCTAGATCCTTGAACTCCAGCTCCCATGAGCCCCAGCCAGCGTGGCCAGCGGCTAAAGAAGACGTGAGTTGCAATTTGACATCATCTGGAGGGGCCACAGGTACCCAACTGGTCCGTTTTCAGCGCCTTGACCTTCTCCTGGCGCAGCTGCCCTTGGAACTCCTCGTACTGAATGTGCTTCGTCCTGCAGTGTGTCTACAGGTGGGCCTTCTTCAGGACGGAGAGGGCCTCACCACAAATGAGGCTCAGCTCCACAAAGAAATAGTCATGGGTCCATTTCTTATTAAAAATGCTGCACTCCAAATCTATCTTCCTCTTCTTGTCGAAACATTGATTGTGTTCAGAAACAGACAATTAGGCAGATGAAGCTGTTCGAATATGGGAGTCCTATACTGCTCTTTGAGCCATTGAAGCTTCTGAACTCTTTTCAAAGGCAGCCCCAGGTAGAGTGTGTTAAAGTAACTGCTACGAAATGTGGCACAGGACTGCTTTCGTTTGACACCAAGGGGAGCTCCTCTTCTGGGGCTGAAAGCATTGGCATGGTTTGATTTTGTCAGTATTGCAAGGAAGCATAGAAGGAAAGGTAAAAAACACCTATGCAGTTTATTAAAGTATCTGTGGTTTTTGCCCTGTATGAGTTCGTTGATGTCTTCTAAGTGCTCCATATTGGCTGTAGCTCTTTCCATATTCAATACATTTAATTGATTTCTCCCCCGTGTGAGTTCGTTGATGTCTTCTAAGTGTCCCACTTCGACTGAAGCTCTTTCCACACTGCATACATTTAAATGGTTTCTCCCCTGTGTGAGTTCGTTGGTGTATTCTAAGTGATCCACTATCCCTGTAGCTCTTTCCACATTCCATACATTTAAATGGTTTTTCCCCTGTGTGAGTTTGTTGGTGTATTCTAAGTTCTCCACTTCGACTGTAGCTCTTTCCACATTCAATACATTTAAATGGTTTCTCCCCTGTGTGAGTTTGTTGATGTCTTCTAAGTGTCCCACTTCGACTGAAGCTCTTTCCACAATCCACACATTCAAATGGTTTCTCCCCTGTGTGAGTTTGTTGATGTCTTCTAAGTGCTCCACTTTCATGGAAGCTCTTTCCACACTGCATACATTTAAATGGTTTCTCCCCTGTGTGAGTTCGTTGGTGTATTCTAAGTGATCCACTATCCCTGTAGCTCTTTCCACATTCCATACATTTAAATGGTTTTTCCCCTGTGTGAGTTCGTTGGTGTATTCTAAGTTCTCCACTTCGACTGTAGCTTTTTCCACATTCAATACATTCAAATGTTTTCTCCACTGTGTGAGTTTGTTGATGTCTTCTAAGTGCTCCACTTTCATGGAAGCTCTTTCCACACTGCATACATTTAAATGGTTTCTCCCCTGTGTGAGTTCGTTGGTGTATTCTAAGTGATCCACTATCACTGTAGCTCTTTCCACATTCCATACATTTAAATGGTTTTTCCCCTGTGTGAATTCGTTGGTGTATTCTAAGTTCTCCGCTTCGACTATAGCTTTTTCCACATTCAATACATTCAAATGGTTTCTCCCCTGTGTGAGTTTGTTGATGTCTTCTAAGTGCTCCACTTTCATGGAAGCTCTTTCCACACTGCATACATTTAAATGGTTTGTCCCCTGTGTGAGTTCGTTGGTGTATTCTAAGTGATCCACTATCACTGTAGCTCTTTCCACATTCAATACATTTAAATGGTTTCTCCCCTGTGTGAGTTCGTTGGTGTCTTCTAAGATGTCCACTTTCACTGAAGCTCTTTCCACATTCAATACATTTAAATGGTTTCTCTCCCGTGTGAGTACGTTGGTGTATTCTAAGTGATCCACTATCATTGAAGCTCTTACCGCACTCCATACATTTAAATGGTTTCTCACCTGTGTGAATTCGTTGGTGTATTCTAAGTGCTCCACTTTCACTGAAGCTCTTTCCACATTCAATACATTTCAATGGTTTATCCTCCGTGTGTATTCGTAGATGACTTCTAAGGGTTCCACTTCGACTGAAGCCCTTACCGCACTCCATACATTTAAATGGTTTCTCCCCTGTGTGAGTTCGTTGGTGTATTCTAAGTGATCCACTATCCCTGTAGCTCTTTCCACATTCCATACATTTAAATGGTTTTTCCCCTGTGTGAGTTCGTTGGTGTATTCTTAGTGCATCATTTCGACTGAAGCTCTTTCCACATTCAATACATTCAAATGGTTTCTCCCCTGTGTGAGTTCGCTGATGTATTCGAAGTTTCCCAGTGGTACTGAAGCTCTTTTCACATTCAATACATTCAAATAGTTTCTCTCCTTTGTGAGTTTCTTGTTGTATCCTCAGTTTCTTTGTTCTTCCCAATGAATTCACCTGTGGCTCCATAGAATTCTGACTTTCATCTTCCTCACCTGTTTGGGAGTCTGGGAGGAAAGAGAATCCTGTTAGACTTTCAAGAAAGACAAAAAAGGAACTGAACACCTGTCAATCCCAATCTGCATCTTCTCTCATTTTCACACAGTCTCCATTCTCCACTGTCCTCTCTATGTTCCAATTTTTTTGCAAAGCAGATGAGATAATGGCAAGAGCAACACATGATCACTCCATTCACACTTAATAAAGCAGCATCATTTTATAATACAGATCTATGGGGGAATTGGCTTATTAAACACATCTCTGTATTTTTCTTTTTCAAGTGAGGAAATGATCTCAGGCTCAAGTAACAGTATTTCCCTTGTGAAATAAGTAAAACTTAAGTGCTACATGTAACTGAAAAAATATTGCAATATATTGGAACCTAAGAAGAGCCTGCTGGATCAGGCAAAGGCCCACCTAGTCCAGCATCCTCTTCTCACAGAGGCTAACCAGATGCCTGTGGGAAACCGGCAAGCAGGATTGGAGCACAAGAGTCTTCTCTGCCTTCCTGTGCTTTCCAGAAACTAGTATCAAGAAGGATTATTGCCTAGGATTGCGAGGGCAGAGTAGAGACGTCAGTCTTATCTTTTCTTTCAAGCTATCCATGTTGCTGGCTCTCACAGTTTCCTGTAGGATGGATTCCATAGATGAACTACACTTCTGTTTATTCATCTTTTGCAGCCCTTAAAGGCTGATAAATGTATTATGGCCTAAGCTTTTGTGGGCTGCAGTCTGACAAAGTGGAATTTTGAGTAGGATACGTTTTGCCACAGGGACGTGGGGACAGGTGAGGCTGCTGATCCCTTATTTTCAAATCTGAAAGTTGACAGCTATGAACCAGCATGTTTAGATCTTCCATTCCCAGTGCTGGGGTGGGGAAAAATTAGAGCACAAGAAGACCCTGCTGAATTAGCAATGAGATCCATGAAAAAAGACCCTTCTGATTGTTCTTTAGAAACCCTCTTTAAAGAGCAGCCAGTGGGATCATTTATCTCCAAATCAGGACTCCTATCCCATCTCAGCACTGTGCTGATTCCTGCTGAGATTGGAGTTAAAGGATCTCTCTAAGGGAACTTTAAGGGACGCGGGTGGCGCTGTGGTCTAAACGACAGAGCCACGGCTTGCCGATCAGAAGGTTGGCGGTGCGAATCCCCGTGACAGGGTGAGCTCCCGTTGCTCGGTCCCTGCTGCTGCCAACCTAGCAGTTTGAAAGCATGTCAAAGTGCAAGTAGATAAATAGGTACCGCTCCGGCGGGAAGGTAAACGGCGTTTCTGTGCGCTGCTCTGGTTCACCAGAAGTGGCTTAGTCATGCTGGCCACATGACCCGGAAGCTGTACGCCGGCCCCCTCAGCCAGTAAAGCGAGATGAGCGCCACAACCCCAGAGTCAGTCACAACTGGACCTAATGGTCAGGGGTCCCTTTACCTTTACCTGGTGCCACTATAAACCTCTGAGTCTCTTTGTTGGCTTGGTGTACTTATTTTGAAATTTGTACCAAGGTTGTACCACAGTATCCCCATAGAAGCTTAAAGGTAAAGGTAAAGGTAACTCTGCCCGTACGGGCCAGTCGTGTCCGACTCTAGGGTTGTGTGCCCATCTCACTTAAGAGGCCGGGGCCAGCGCTGTCCGGAGACACTTCCGGGTCAGGTGGCCAGCGTGACAAAGCTGCCGTGGCGAGCCGACACCAGCGCAGCACACGGAAACACCATTTAACTTCCTGCTATAAAGCGGTACCTATTTATCTACTGGCACTTAGGGCTACTTTCGAACTGCTAGGTGGGCAGGAGCTGGGACCGAAAGATGGGAGCTCACCCTGCCGCGGGGATTCGAACCGCTGACCATGCGATCGACAAGCCCTAATCGCTGAGGTTTTACCAACAGCGCCACCCGCGTCCCACCGCCACCCGCGTCCCACCCATAGAAGCTTAGGAACGGAGAAAATTACAGGGGTGCTAGAAATTATTATCCCACTCACTCACTCTCACAAACAACCCCAGTCTGTAAGATTGGCAAGTTTACACAATTTGCTTCTAATACCAGACACTCTTGGACTTTATATGTCCAATCCTAAGTGTAGAGCCACCAGCCACAGGAATTATGTATCATGATAACGGGTCCTTTGTCCCTTAAGTCCACCAAACTGGGGAGCTGCATGCATTTATTTTGATGCTGGTGGAATGTATCACTCTGACCCTGTCTATAAAAAATAAGGGTAATAGATTAATTATAAATAATTATGGGAAGCATTTCCATTCCCCTTCACCCGTTTTTCAGGATTGGTGTGCCACATCATTATCATCAATATTCCTGCTGGGGAAATAACATCTAAGATTTAAAAGCCTGGAGGAAGAAAAGCTCACCCCTTCCTTCTTACGTTCAGGAACCTCCTTCCATTTGTCTCCTCTCCATCTTTTCACCTTTCTCCCTGCACCATCCATCTATCCATCTATCCCTGTCCCCATCTCCTCTCCCTGGAACTCACCAGATTTCTCCAAGGGTCCTGGGAGGGAATGCTCAGAGGTTGTGGGGAGGGATGCGGGAGACAGCCTGACGAGGTCACCCATCCATCTTCCTCCTTCCATCCTGGCCAGGGTTGCAGGTTCTGTCTCAGCTAGGTTTGCAGGTTCAGCTTCCTGAGGAGCGCAGAATCCAGAGCCAGTTGCAGCTTCCTGGGAGGGAGGGAAGAAGAAGCCAAGGGAGTCTCAGAGCCCCTGCAGGGATTCTCCTGCCCAAGACATTCTGCTGCCCCTTCCCCAAGAGCCCCCACACATTTTGAAACACCTTTGGCAATTCCTTTCACCTGCCTGTCCCACCTCCCTTCCTAAGGCTGGCATGGTATGTACATTAGCGGCCTGAGAGTAGGTCCCTTGGAATTTAAGAGTTCATCTGCAAAGAACTGCTCTGAATACATGGGTGGCCCTTGCATGGAGAAGAAAGAAGCCCCTTGCTTGCATCAGGACCCCCTGGGAGAGGCGGTGGATCCGCCCACTGCTCCCTCTGCCCTCGCTGCCGCCTCCTCTGTCCTCCTGCCCTGCAAACACCCTTTGCTCTTGTTCCTCAGGGGAGAGAGGCGGCTGGTGGAAAGAGGCTTCAAACCCATCCGTTTCCTCCACTGCTCCCCCTCCTCTCCTTTTGGGAAACAGGAACTTTGGTCAGGAGTAAACAACCTAGATGGCAAGTTTGCAAGATAAGCACTTTAGAGCACTGCTTGCTCCCACTATGTTTGTCTGTGTGTGTTTGGACGTAGAGGACGACATACATGTTTACACCAAGTGATTCCTTAAAGACGGCAATTCTTTAAAACCGAAGGCCATTTCTACAAAATGGAAGACTTCCGAAGGCAGCCTTTTACAAGGAAATTTTTGATGGTTTTTATTTTGTTGGAAGCTACCCAGATGGGCAGAGGCAACCCAGTCAGATAGGCAGGATGCAAATAATAATAATAATAATAATAATAATAATAATAATAATAATAATAATAATAATTGCTTCCTAAGCCTGTCCTGGGACTCGGGTGGCGCTGTGGGTTAAACCACAGAGCCTAGGACTTGCCGATCAGAAGGTTGGCGGTTCGAATCCCCGCGACAGGGTGAGCTCCCGTTGCTCGGTCCCTGCTCCTGCCAACCTAGCAGTTCGAAAGCACATAAAAGTGCAAATAGATAAATAGGTACAGCTCCGGCAGGAAGATAAAGGGCGTTCCCATGCACTGCTCTGGTTCACAAGAAGCGGCTTAGACATGCTGGCCACATGAACAGGAAGCTGTACGCTGGCTCCCTCAGCCAATAAAGCGAGATGAGCTCCGCAACCCCAGAGTCGGTCACGACTGGACCTAATGGTCAGGGGTCCCTTTACCTTTTTACGCCTGTCCTGCTAGGCATGCTGATCAGAGACTCTGTCCAAACAACCCCTTCAAATGCAACAGGGCTTCCTATTTTTACTGCTATCAGTGGGATCAGTCAAACCACGAAGCCACTGATCAACCAGAGTTTCCTGTTTTGACGAAGCAGAGTTTGAAGTTAGATTAATCTCTCAGCTTGTTCCAAAGCTGGCAGCTGTAGTTTCCTGGTTTGGGCAAAATGGAAAGTTTGTTAGTTATGGCTCATAAGAGAGTGCCTGGTTTCATCACAGTTCACCCTCAGGGCCGGCCCAATCATGAGGTAAGCTGGGACCATTAGGTCAGGAGGCAGATGCAGGGAGATATGGGACCAGCACGTTCCCAGCTCCCCTGTTTGTTAGCCTTGCTGTCAGTGCAGGACCACAGCTGGTAAATTTGTGCAACTACCAATGTAGAGTCCTTTTCTTTTGCCCTCTCTCACTAAAGGTTGGGTGGGGGTCCTTCCTGGAGTGATGCATTCTGGTTGTGGGGGCCAGGAGACTGCGGTGGCAGCTAGAGTTTTTGGTTTTCAACTTGGGTCAACTTAGGTTTTATCGTAACTTTGCTGCAGCAATGCATTAAAAACTGTTCCTATTTTTAACCCGGCTTTTCAGGCTGTGATTCAGTCATCTGAATCTGGCCATTATCTTAATAAACCTTGCAAGATGGGCCAGTCTTATTTAATGCGACTACACATGGGATTGCTGAGGCTACAAGACGTGCCAAGATTTTTACCTCAGTGGGGAGAAAAGAGCATTTTGGAAATGGAGGCAATTTAGAGGAGGAAAACGGGGTTTGGTGGAAGGACCCCTCTTCTGACACAGCTTCTGCTCTGATAAAATTCAGAGTCCCCTGCAGCTGTTTAAGTAAAGTAAGAATAGCAGGAGATATGATCGCAAACCTCCCATGTGTAAGAAAGTTTGGTCTAGCAAGGCTTTTTAAAGTGGATTAGAGTGGAAGTGC